GTTGATATTTTATCTCTTGTTTGTTGATATTTTATCTCTTGTTTGTTGATATTTTATCTCTTGTTTGTTGATATTTTATCTCGTTTGTTGATATTTTAGCTGTTTGTTGATATTTTAGCTGTTTGTTGATATTTTAACTGGTGTTTGTTGATATTTTATCTCTTGTTTGTTGATATTTTATCTCGTTTGTTGATATTTTATCTCTTGTTTGTTGATATTTTATCTCGTTTGTTGATATTTTATCTCTAGTTTGTTGATATTTTACCTCTTGTTTGTAGGACTGGAGCTCCTTCACATGAGGAGTAAAGAGGAGCTGTAATCCTGCAGCAGCCTCTCAGCTGCAGAACGTGGTCTCACACAGACCGGAGTCTGAATGAGGATGTGGGTCAGATGAGGATGCTCCTGCAGCTCTGACTCATGATGCTAGCTGCCAACATGTGGTCAGGTCACACATTAAACACGTCACTTTTCTGACCAGATCCATCACCAACAAACTCTGCAGGGTTAAATATCTACAAGCTGGAACACCCAAACCCTTCGCTGGCAGAGCCTCTGCTCCGTTTCCCAACAAGCTCTGCTCTTGGCCACAGATTCTGAAATAATTTGTTTCAGTTGTTTTCTGGCTCCTCTGAGTTTTCACTGAAGGTTAAAGACAGAATGTGGGTTTTCAGCAGCTACAACCAAACTGAATGTTATTAACTCAACACTCCTTCACTGCGGCTTCTTCTCTGTTTGCAAAGATTTCACAAATAACTAAATGTTCCCATGTTTCAGGACCTCCAGGTTAGAGACACATGAACGCACAACTGACCGTTTCAGCCCTGATCTTTGTGTTTGTTTTCTAAATGTCCCGCCGACTCAGAGCTCCAAAACTCACCAGATAAAAGGTCAAACAGGCGACACACAAAGATCAGCTCCTCTGGTTCGTGGTAAAAACTGGACTCTGCTGTGGTTTGGTTCTGTGCACACAGCTTACTGTGTGTGTGTGTGTGTGTGTGTGTGTGTGTGTGTGTGTGTTTCAACAAACAAATACAACTGATGCATCAATACACTCATTTTCACACTTTTACTGTGAAGAAGTTTTATCAGGAAGTAGATCATCCAGCCATCAATCAGCAGAGGGGGCGGGGCTTACCAGGATAGAAGTCTTTGGATTTGGACAGTTTGATGGTGGCTCCGGTCTCTTTCTGCAGCTGGACGATGGTCTGACCTCCCTTCCCGATGATTGAACCCGCTGCATAGCTGGGAATCAAAACCTTCAGGAAGTACTCGCCTTCCTCTGTGGCAGGAAACAGGAAACAGGAAGTCAGAGGGAGAAACTTTGGAGCTGCTTTTAACACAAAGTAAAGAAATACAAACTTTACATAAGAAGCTAAAATCTGCATTTTAAACCCTTTTGAACCTTTGTCCTCATGCAGGCCTTCTGTTTGACGTTTGAAACAATCGAAACTTTTAATACTGAAAAATAAAAGTTTATAAATTCTGTCTCCAAACAAACAAACCGCAGAAACGATGACGTTTATCCAAAACAACGAGACGATTCACCACCGGCGTTATCACCCCCCCCGGTTAGTTAAAACTTCAAATAACCTAAAGCTTTAGTGGATCATCTCCTGCCGTCCTGCGTCTTCACTCAGTTTTCATCTTTACAACCCAAGTTTACACAAATACATCCCAACAGGTAAACGTCTGTTTGCTTAGAAAGTTTAAAAATGTGTTGGGAACAGGAATAAACAGGACAGGAAGTAAAAGTTGTCAGAATATCTGCAGAATAATTCAGTCGATCTAAGAACTGAACTGATTCACGGCTGCGATCCTCCCTCCCTCCGTCCCTCTGTGTGCATTTATTCAGGACAGAAAAGCTCTGGAGGCAGGTTAAAAATAGAGTTTCTGCTCATGCAGCTCTGCTGTGCTGTTAGTCAGGTTAACAAACTGAAATCAAACTGATATCTAACTGAAATCAAACTAAAATTAATCTGAAATCTACCTAAAATCTACCTAAAATCTAACTAAAATCAATCTACAATCAAACTGAAATCAAACTGAAATCAAACTAAAATCAAACTAAAATCAAACTGAAATCAAACTGAAATCAAACTGAAATCAAACTACAATCAAACTACAATCAAATGGAAATCAAACTGAAATCAAACTGAAATCAAACTCAAATTAAACTGAAATGAAATAAAATCTAACTAAAATCAAACTGAAATCAAACTGAAATCAAACTGAAATCAAACTCAAATTAAACTGAAATGAAATAAAATCTAA